TACTACAATATGTAAAACCAATATTTCTTTGGAACATTTTTCAAAAAGAATTTTTCGACTGTTTGTTAGTCTCTGTTACGCCATACAGCATAACAGTTCACACTATTTTAGACCGCTTCTGACAATTTAAAAAAAAGAAGAAGAAGAAGAAAAGGATATGAGTATTCATCTATGTGCAAGCTACAACTTGCACTGAAAAAAATTAAAGAATGAAATTGTTTTAAAACGGAGCACGTTTGTTATTAAATGTGTCTTGTGACTAAATAAATCTATTTATCTATCTATCTATTTATCTATCTATCTATTTTGCGAGCGTGCTGAAACGTGCCGAACATCGGATGCGCCAAACCATCGCTCGTCGACTTACGATGAGGAGAAAACATATGTGTCAGCAACAAAATATGAGTCGGTAATCGACGGATATATATTTTTCCATCCGATCATATTCGTTTGATACGAGATTTGACTGCAAAGATTGAGAGTTCTTGTTGTGCGGTCACCGACAATGAGCATGCTCGTTGCTTTCTGATCATGATCTCTAATCACTTATTGTCGAAATCGAGCGTTTTTGTTATTAAAATCGAGTATTCTTGATCTCTGCATCATCTAAAGAAAACCAGTATTCTAATCTTCCATCACCGAAATTATTCTGATGCTCGACCTCCAAAAAAGCAATAGTTTTTATTATAAATCTTTGAGATTGAGTGTTTTCGATCCTTCGAGAATTTAATTAACGGAAACTGAGCGTTATTATCCACTTCTGAGCATTCTCGATTTCCATTAATCATCCACCAAAAACAAGCATTTTCATTTTTCTCTACTTAAAATCCAAGCATTCGCAAAAGATGAGCAATCTTGTATTTCAAAGATCAACGCTACGCATTTATTCATTGTGATTATGATATCCAACTATTGTTCGCGTCCGTACATTCGCACTCGTCACCAATCTATGACACGTGGCTGTACACGCGTCTGAGCAATCTCACGTACTGCTGGCTTTTCTGATGAATTGCTGATCGAACACACACGCATCCATTCAATTATATGTTTATCATACATCTCAATGCACGAATACGTGTTCCAACACGCATGCCATCAGCCTATCATCCGACTGCACCTGTCTACTTATCCTAGTTATAGTATCACGGGTACAGTTACAATATTCAACAGAAGATACTCCAAAATTTAGCATGATATGTCAAGATATGTTACAAAAATGTAGTAAAAAATCTATTCTTTCACACTGTAATAGCAGAAATATGGCAAGAATGTAACACGATCAGTAACGTCAGATACTGGCAGCAGAAATGCAGCAGAAACCGAGCAACCTGTGCCGTCACGACATGACGACAAAATTGCGGCAAGTATACGGCACGATCTGCTTTATTAGTTGTTGTGGACAAAAAGATAGCAAAAATCAAACATAATATGCTGTCACGTCGCGGCGACAAAATTGTAACAGAAATCGAATAGGGCTTGCTGGCATAATCTGCCAGCAAATTGGCAATAGAAATCGTACAAAACTCTGCGTCTGTCACTAAATACAATAATTCCCGCTAAATTACCGCTAGATACGCCGTTTCTCGCATGCAAAATTTATATAAACTTTCTACATAAGTGAAATCATAATCAAAATTTAAATGCATTTATTATTTATGTACTTTTATGTATGCGTTTGATGCAAGATGTAATTATCCAACAAGATAGTTAACAAAGTGTAGTATCTGAGAAATAGTATATTATATAAAATGTACAATGTTTGATACATAATTTGATACGTTATATAAAAATCAAAAGAATTATAACTTATATCTTTAAAAAGCTTAACTTATTTGTGCTGTAAAGATATACCAACAAAGATTTACCAACAATTTAGCAGGCCCTATTCGATTTCTGCCACAATTTTGCCGTCACATCGTAACAGCACCCTGTACTTGATTTCTGCTGCGTTTCTGCTGCCAGTTCTGCTTGCCATCTGATATGGCAAATTTTGCATGATATCTGCTATATATCTGCTGCCACAATGACAAGCAATGCTCCATTCTTATCGCATTTTTGTCATTATTCTATGATGAAAAGGTGTGCAAAAAACTTTGGGAAACAGCAGCTTGAAATCTGCTGCGAAGTCATGATCGGATCTGTTGGCATAGTGCTGGCATTTTGTTATCTGAGTATGAATAATAATAATTTTGCTACAATATTTGTATTATTCATTTCATTTCATTTTCATAAAAATTTATGTCGATTCATATTTTTAATATTGAAACAAGCATATCAGTGGGAAGTGTACATAGACTTATAAAAGATATAATAAGTATCATTTGTTTAAGTTAATATTAGTATAAGAGTTGTGTCCAACTGACAAGATACGACGTTCAGAATTCATAACATGATTTGCCACTGTTTAGCAAGAAAATGTTTATACACTGCCCAACAATGATTCGCGTGATCCCGCCGGAGCTTTAATACTTATCGGCCTGATTTACTCAGGCAGAGTCAATAACGTCGATAATGTTGAATGCGGGCGCGCTTTGGAAAGATGCACATCGAAAGGAACACATGCAGTAATAAAGAATAATAAAAATAATAATTAATCCTTTATTTGTTTCATCTTTCTTTCTTTTTTTAATTTAAAAATGCATGAATTATATCTCCGTCGTGTTACAGGTCATATGCATCTTTATATTTATCTGTATAAATATATATTTCGTAATATATGCGTTTTGAATTATACATTTATTGAAAGAAATAAGAAGGGAAGGTCACGACGGGGCTCGACCACGAACCAGACGTGAAAACTCGTAATTATTTTGCGAAAAAATACCACCTTAGCCAGGAAATCGAACCTGGATCTCCTGCTTACCGGGCAGGCATCTTATCCTTTCGACTACTGAGGCATGTGATGATATTAATCGCAAATAACGTGTTTAGAATAACACATCAACAATACAATGATACATATATATATATATATATATATATATATATATATATATATATATATACTATATATATATATATATACTA